GTTTTTTTGGTGACTCGAACCTACAACTCTGGAGTTGTAGGTGGGAGATGCTGACCATAGATTGATGTCATTTGCATGAAATCTTGTGCACGTTACGGTTGGCTAAATGCACCTTCTATTTTGATTGATTTAATTTGCAGTTGCCATCACAAGTGAAGATTAGCAAAGTGAGTTTCAAGAACATAAGAGGAACATCAAGAACTCAAGATGCTATACAAATTAATTGTAGTAAAGGTGTGCCATGTGAAGGTGTAGAAGTTGGAGATATTGACATAACCTATAATGGAAATGAAGGGCCAGCCAAGTCTACTTGCCAGAATGTTGACCCAAGTTTTATAGGCAAACAGATTCCACCAGTTTGCGCTGGTCCAGCAGAGTCTTCTTGAAGTTGTTTATGCGTAAAAAGGACAGTCCGGTGCACAAAGTATTTTACGTCCACACGAGATACGGGGAAAAGCCGTACCCCTAAAGGAGTGTTAATATAGGCAACCTACCTGGCTTAAGCATCAGTGACTGATTTTACTTTTTTTTTTCCATCCGGTGTACGATATTTGTATTGGAGACCGGCTTAACTGGATTCGTCTAGCGTAAGACCTATTAAAGAGGAAAACCCTCGCGACTAGTAGTTTTTTTTGCAGAGCTCGAACCCGAAACCTTTGATTAAGGGTAAAGAATAATTTAGTCTTCTTGAGCTTTAATATAAAGCTCCCAAAACTTTGTCCCCATATCATTTGGGATTTTCCTTTTTGTGTTTTTTTCCTTAGCTAGCATTGGACTTGTCTATTAGGTAAGATGTAGACAGAGGAAATTGTACAGTGTTGTGAAATTACCAAGCTGTACACTTGAATTAGAAAATAAATCACCTTTATAGTGTGAAAATTTATCAGATATGCATTGATTGGATTATGTTTGATGGTTATATATTCTTTTATTAGCGTTTGGACATAGATTTGGCTGATACTTGAAAATAGTGTTTTTAAAAATGAAATGAAAAATAATTTTTTGAAGTTAAAAATTGTATTTGGACATGCATTTTACTTAACAAATAATATTAAAAATATTTATAAAAAAAAAAAAGTTATGGCTAAACAGGAGTTAATCTTATGGTATCCAAAGGTGCCCGGCTAATATGACTTGAGATAAGCTTCTAAGAGAAATTTATTTCCTAATTAAAAGTTTTTCATTCTTATAATTTAAAGTCGAGAACTTTAATTAAGGGTAAAAGATTTAACAATCTCTCACATCCACATCTTTTAAAGAAAAAAGAAAAAGATAAAATCGTGGCAACATTAGACTTGATATTTCTTTCAAAGTCTATCTATAATATCCACATGATTCTCACCTGAACAGTATGATAAGAACTTTCTGTCCTTTTATGAAATATTCGTTCTGATTTTCAGAATGTGATAAATTATTAGTCAAAATAAAAGGAAGATTGATTTTGGTGAATTTACGTTTATTAGCGAAACTATGACAATATATAGTTGTATACGGCCAAAATCATATGCTCCCGGTGCAGAAGCTCAAGGTCCCGCCCTAGGTCTAAGTTCAGGAGGGATTGAGTTCGAAGCCGGTGGACCAGGCTTGAGCTCGAAGAAAGAACGTAATGCCCGGAAACAGAAGTTCGAGGAATACCGAGGCCAAGTGTGCTCGACCTTGAAATAATACCGTTATGGATTTGTACCGGAGCAAGCTAGATTTCTGCCACGTCCCTGAAATCATGGCGCAAATTCCAGAATAGGATCATACATCTCCGTACTAGGCGGTTAAGATAGTTGTAAAAAGAATATTCCCTATTGTAAATAGAAATATTCCTATTTGGGATTCCCCTGTTATAAAAAGGGGAACCCCAATCATTTGTAAGATCACCTTTTGACTGAGCAAAGAATATACTCTCTACTTTTTGTCTACTATTCATCAGAAAAGTCCCTTAGCTCAATTATTCTTACTTTGATTTCTCTATTTAATTGTTCTTACTGCCCTAAGCCACCTCGAGGTCATCATCTCGAGGTCACTACTGCTAAGCAACATTGGTTTGATTCACTTCTATCTTCCATTTCTACTTCATATTTCTTGATTCTTAATTGGTATTGAACTAAATCACATATCTTTAAAACCACAAATCAAATTTAATTGTTACTCGTATTTTTCGAGATAAACAATAGTCAACATATATTGTGAAGAAAATTTATTAAATTCGTTGATTAAGATCTTTATATTTTACAAGTTATCAAACGTGTGTTTTATATTCGTTTGATTCATAAGTAAGTGAAATATGTTTTTTTTGAAATTTTTTTAATTTTTTCAGACTGAAAAAATTTCGGAAACCTTTTTTTCTTCACAATATATGTTACAGAAAAAAAAGTTCTTTAGTTTTTAGAAACTGAAAAAAGTGAAATCATGGCTAGGACACCCGATAAAAGAATATCTTTTTTTTTTTCAACTTCACAAGAATAATACTCTACTACTATAAAAGAATAATTCCTCCATTCCCATTTGTCACGTTTTGCTACTTAATAGTTAATTTGACTAATTTTTAAAATTAAATTGAATTAAAATATCTTAATATTTGAAAATTATAATATAAATATTTGGAAACTATACGAAAAACACTTTAATTTGTTTTTATTATAATATTGATTAAAATTCATATAGTATGACTCTCGAGAACCAAGACATGACAATTAAATGAGAACAAAAGAGTATACTTGATGGGTTCTCAATGCTTTGCCTTATGCTTCTGATGTTTTGATGATCTAACAAACTTGTCGTGAAGAACCAGATAGAGAACCTGACCTACATGTCAACTGTCCTGATCCATGAACGACCTCAGGGAGGAACACAACAGGGACCTGGTGACTCGGTCCCTTAGAGTTCTCTGACAGATTTACAAGTCTGTGACTGCTCGCAATCATTACAAAGAGGAACACAACATGGAGCTAATCTCTAAGGTTCCCGGGCAGAAGTACAAGTTAACTGAACAGCTGGAACGTAACAGTGGAAAGTGAATATATCGCAAATGTTACAGAAGAAGAACACAACTGGGACCTGGCCCATTTGTGTTCTCTGACAGAAGTACAAGTCCACTATCCAGCTGGAACGCAACTGCACAAAAGTGACTCTGCAGACAGTGCAGCAGTCACTTTTCACTGGGAAGAAGCGTACATCAAGAATTGACATCACTACCCATTGTGATATCTTTTGTAATATAAATACCTGGTGCAAGACACAACACCGGTGTGCATTCAGTGATATTCTCTCAAGCATAACAGTGTTCATCCTGCATTGAAGTCACTGGTGTGTCAAGAACAAGAAGACAACTCCACTAAGGATCAGTTTCTTAATGAGTTTATGTACATCCGTAGTTGAGTTGTAATCTTGTTATTTGCTCTTCATTGTATTTCCTAGTTTGCTTTCTTAGAAGCTTTGTCTTAGGAACAAACCAAAATTCGTAAACTTCCAAGTTTATGTTGTGACTAGGAATAGTCATAAGTCAAAGCCTTTGTAACTAGGATAGTTATAGAGTGGCTTGTGATGAGAGCATCACAAGTTAGTTGAAGTCTTTGCAATAGGGTTATTGTAAAGTGGCTTGTAATAGGGAGATTGCAAGTTAGTGAAGTTAAAAGCCTGCAAGAGTAGGTCGTGGTTTTTTGATCCCCTTGTGTGAGATTTTTCCACGTAAAAATCCCTTGTCCTCTTTACTTCCAGTATTCATAGCATTCTCAGCATCATCTCATATAGGACCAGGTACTCTATAGTTTGGTGGACTCATATAAACTAACAATTGGTATCAGAGCAGGTTCCTCCTATCAGGCTAACACCTAGGAAGGATCCTCATGCTGCTCCACCCAACTTTGAGGAAGGACAGTCAACATACAGACCTCCCACGTTCAATGGTAGTACTATGGCTGGTGGAAGACCCGCATGCATGATTTTATGATGGCAGAAGATTCAGAACTGTGGGACATCATCTGTGATGGTCCACATGTCCCCATGAAGAAGATTGAAGAAACAGGACAAATGGTGCCGAAATGCAGAAAAGAGTACAACGACATTGACAGAAAAGCTGTAGAAAAGAACTATCGTGCAAAGAAAATCTTGATGTGTGGCATAGGACCTGATGAGTACAACTGAGTCTAAGCTTGTGACACTGCCAAAGAAATATGGGAGACGTTGCAAACCGCTCACGAAGGAACCACTCAGTTCAAACAATCCAAGATTGACATGCTCATCATAGAATATGAGCTCTTTAGGATAAAGGATGATGAATCTATACAAGATATGCACACTAGATTCACCTCCATCATAAATGAGCTTCATTCACTTGGAGATGTCATTCCCAGAAACAAGCTTGTAAGGAAAATCCTCAGTATCCTACCTGGGTCTTGGGAAAGTAAGGTAAATGCTATCACTGAAGCTAAAAATCTACAAACTCTGACCATGGATGAGTTGATTGGTAATCTAAAGACATACGAGATGAAAAGAAAGAAAGACAGCGAAAGAAGAGAGCCTAAGAAGGAGAAGAACCTGGTACTCAAAGCGGAAAGCAGTGACTCAAGTGATGAAGATAGTGATATGGCATATCTTACTAAGAGATTTCAAAAGATGGTTCGAAAAAATGGTGGTATACCAAAGTGGGGCAGTTCAAGTAAAGCAAGGAACAATGATCTCTGTCACAGATGTGGGAAGCCAGGGCATTTCATCAAAGACTGCCCACTCGCGAAACTGGAGCAATACAAACAAAATCCAGACAAAACAGCAAAAAGGAACCTGGTTCCAGACAAGTGATTCAACCGAAAAAGTGCTGCTGACAATATTGTTAATCAGGCTCTTGCTGCTTGGGGAGACTCTTCGAGTGAATTCGAAGGGGAACCAGATGCGGAAAACAGTTCCATGATGGCAGTGGAAACTGGAGCAATGAAGTATGATTCATTGTTCGCGCTGATGGCTCAGTTTGATGATGATGAAGATGATGAAGACAGTGAGGTAAACTTTAGGGATGTTCAGAGAAATCTGAAATCCTACTCTTCCAAGAAGCTAAGGTCGTCAGCAAATGTCTTAATTGATGTCTATTATAGCCTTGTTAATGATAAGGAGATCCTGACCATAGAACTAGGAGAAGCCGAACAATCTAGAGATGATCTGGTTGTTTGTGTAGTGGACCGAGATGAGACCATAGCTAATCTTGAAAAAGAAAAGAAGGCTTTGAATGAAAGAATAAATAGTGTGGAAAATGAGAGAGACGACCTGATTGTAGTAGTTGTTGATCTAAAAGAAACAATAGAAGGTCTTAACAACGAGAAACACACCTTAGAATAAAAAAATACAAACAGTGAGCAAGAGAGGGACGAACTTTTAGTGATATGCACCGATCTAGAGGAAACCATTGAAAGGCTCAATAGAGAAAATAGGAATGTGATGCTTGGGAAAGGGAAGGGAGTAGCTAGTGAGACACACATCAATCTTGAAAAGGAATTGAATGCTGTAAAAACCAGTCTATGTAGTGAACTCGAGAAAAATCAACAACTTCAAGCAGAATTGGAGAAAGTAAGAATGGATCTTGAGAAGTCTCTGAAGTAGACCTGGCCCTCAGATGGTGTCACTGCCATGTATCTCAACAACAGTGGAAACAGGCAGGGCATCGGGTTTCAAAGGGAGAAAAATCCTTACAACCCACACAGCAAGTATGTCATTGTCCCTGATAACTGGCTATGTACCCACTGTGGGAACAATGGGCACTTTAAAGAAAATTGCCAGGCCAGGGTTCAGTCTGTTCAGAAAAACAAAGTGTTTACTGATAAAGTGACTACTAATAAGGGACCAGGTACCACTCGCAAGAAACGGATGTTGCCTGCATGGACTAGGAAAACCCTTATTCATCCTTTCTCTCATAACAAGGGACCCAA